ATCGCGACGAAACTTGCGATATACCATACCACCTGGATGATTGGCGGTCCACTACTGTGCGATTTAGAAGATGTTTTCTTCCTCGCACAACTTCCTTGTGGAATCGATTACCACCAGCGCTTTTTCCGGACCGATACGACTTAGGGAACTTCAAGAAAAGATCCTAATCCTTTTTAAAAGGCTGGCAACGCATCTGCAATTCCCCTGGTGTTGCAGTTGTTCATGGGCGGCGGTAGTCACTTACCATCAGGTGAGCCGCATGTTCGTTTGTCCCCTCTCCTATAAAAAAAGGTGAAATATATGCTTTTGAAAGAATGTTATGGGTACTCGATGGACCCAACCCCAAGGGGACGCAATTATAACACTAGGAATAAACACCTTATTCAGTAATCAGAACGATTAATTACTACGGTAAGAGAACACGTAAATTTCTAATACCATATCTATTAAATTCTTTATCTACAGAATTAAGAAGCCATCTAACAGCACAAAACATTAAAGCAAAACTTAAATATTTTTTCATATAATTAGAATTCTTAAATATATAAATATAAATATTTATATATATATTAATGATAATCATGATAATTTAAATTTATCTATGCAATTATATTGCCAAAACGGACAAATAAACGAAACGTATAACCAAATAAAATACTTTAAAAAACTAAACTATTCCTTAAAATGGCAACAATATCAAAAACTACCTTCTCCACAAAAAAAGATTATAGTTTAAGAAATATATCTACTACAAATTCTATATAAAATAATGTAAATACCAAAAAATGTTTATTATTCTTTTACACAATTTTAAATAGTACTTTATATTTAGTTTAAGTAAAAGTTAATTTAAATATTATGTAAATAAGAGTATAAGTAAAATAATATATTAGAGCAAACTGTGCAACAAACACAATTGTGTTTAATGGCATGAAGAAATTATACAGTAATTAAAACTGTAACTTTGTTGAAATAAATTAAAAAAAAATCTCTTTCATGCCAAGATAAGAAAAAGTGGTAGGGACATGGATATTATACATCTAGCTGGCAATATGGCGGATCGTGATGCAAAAATCTTACACTTTTTCTCGCCTAGCCCCCCTCCGTCAAATTCGTACCGTGCGATAAAGAACTTCGTTCCAAAAAATTACATTTAATGAAAAATTATTTTTTCAGAAATTTTACTTAATATTGGTAGTAAAGAAATTGGTCTTAAATTGGTGGGATCTATGTACTACCAGATTTAAATGAAGACGTGACTTAACTATTTCAATTTAATCAGGAAAAACACCAGATTTGGCGCTTTTATTTACCTAATGGTAGCTAGATAAAGTGCAACTGTATCTATTAAGGACGTAATAACTTTAGTCCCCTCCTAATTCTACCGTTTTCTTACATCAATAGTTTTAAAATATTTAACGATATCTTTTGGCAATACTCTATGGAATTTAATAGTTTTATAAGAAGCCTTTACTTTTCGTTGTTGAAATTATTCGGCGACAGTAAGGGAAATTAATACTCGTATTGAAGTTATAGTTCTTTTGGGACGTTTGGGAAAAATTATGAGAGTGAATTTTTTACGATGCGCGCGCACTCCGACAGATAAAAACGACACCATCAAGTTGTTACGATGCGCGCACACACTGACACCTCAAAGCGACAACTTAATTGGGTTACTGTCTCTCAAGTTTTCTTGTGAACTGATAACTATATTTAAGGTTACGCTAAAGAAGTATAACTTCCTACATGCGTACATAACACACACACACACACACACACACACACACACACACACACACACACACACACACACACACACACACACACACACACACACACACATACACACACACGCGCGCGCGCGCGCGCGCGCCTATTTTTATTTTTTTTAAAAAAAAAGGAAAATCAGTGAAATATTCCCCAATCTCTTGATCAGATTTAGTCAAATTATTATTGTCAATGTTAAATTGAAAATCCGAGTTGCGTAGTTTGACCTTACCCGTTTCACTATTAATTATACTCCACGTCATTTTACTTTTATTGGAAGCAATTTTAAATTTATTGCTTCAATATAAAGCCCGTTAAATATGGAGCACACTTTTTAAAATATTTTTAATGTAACACTATCATTAGGTATTTTTTTTTAGATTTTACGCCGCTACCACATGGACAAGAGCGGAGTCGACTATTATTAAATTAAAAACATTTTTTACTTTAAATATTATTTTATTGTACATAATATATGTATCTATGTTTCCACAATAATATATGGGTAATAAATTTATAACATCAGTATGGTCAATAGTAATTAGAGTAACACGGGTAGGCGCCCTATCGGCACCAAACAAATGTTTAGTTCACAATTTATGTGCTGATTTACTAAATGCTTGGCAGTGAAGGAAAAATTAGTGAGAAAACTTGCATTTTTGAAGGAAAAATATTTCGAGAACATGCGAAATTCGTATCATATTATATTATTTGACTTGCTTTTTTGCGCATCACGATGCAGCACCGTCTTCGTCGGTAAGCGCAGCGTGCAAGAGCGGCGCTGCGCCTCGTGACGTCGCTATATGTCTCGCGTAGACGCCAGACCTCTGTCACTCTTGCTACCTACGCCAGGCCTCTGTCACTCTTGCTACCTGCGTGAAATAATTACCTACAATCGCTTGGCGCCCCCGGGATAGAACGCAGTCGGGGCTAGCGCGTTCTAGGCGATTGAATGTTAAAGTTTTTTAATGCTTACGTAAATAGTTTTTTGTAAATACTTGTTGAAATACTCGTCGAAATAGTTTTTGTTTAGTGTTTAGTATATTTAATTTTAGGATAAAATAGTTGGAAAAGTTTTAATGTAATTTAAGAATAATATATTATATGCATATTACTACCTATCTATTTCATAAATTATAATGGCAAAACGTCGTTCCTGCTATTTTTGTCGCGGGAATGAATGCTTAATGAGCAAACAAAATTATTCAGATATATCATTTTTTTATTTTACCGAAGGTTAATGAAAGGTGAATTTATTTCATTTTTTGTTAGATGTTAGTTAAATGGTTAGGATTTAGGTACTTATAGCGAAAAAAGGATTAAGTAATAATTTAACCACAGAAGTAATACCTATGCACCTACTTTATATTATACCTACTTTATTTATACCTACTTTATACACAAAATATTGAAATTAAAACTTTGTTTACAAGATTTTTAACTAAGAAGAATACGATCACATTTCTGTTAGGAATCGTATTTCGAGTTTATTTGTTGTTTACACTATCTACATAACTATTTCTTACGAGCCAAGCATCCTGATTCCCGACGAAGTTGCAAGTTGCATGCGTTGGGTATCACAGAACTCATATAGTAGCGGAAATAAGGTCGATCATATAGTCGGAATAGGTACTTTAACTAAGTAACTTACTAACAATTTCACAATATATTTTTTTACTCTTTATTAACAACCAAAATTTTTTTTAATTTTTATAACAGAGAAAAGATGCAAAGTAGTACGGACATTCGCGCGCTGCGATAAAGTTTTATTTAGCTTGCGTGCGCGATTTACCTGATTAATAATAATTATGTAGATTATTAAAACGTCGGCAAGCAGTCAACATCAAAGGAGTGCAACTTCTATACGTAATACTATTATTTGTTCTATGCCTACGCGAAATAATTACCTATAATCGCGAGGCGCCCCAGGGATACAACGCAGTCGGGTCTAGCGCGTTCTAGGCGATTGAATATTAAAGTTTTTTAACGCTGTTTACATTAATAGTTTTTTGTAAATATTTATTGAAATACTCGTCGAATTAGTTTTTGTTTAGTGTTTAGTATATTTAATTGTAGGATAAAATAGTTTCAAAATTGTAAAGTAATTTAAGAAAATAATGTTACAAGCATTTGATACTTTAATTACAAAACACTATTTTTTTTATAGGATAATGGTGACAAACGAACACACAGTCCACCTGATGGTAAGTGGTTGCTGTAGCCCATAGACATCTACATCTATCTTGGATTAAGAATCAAAATGCAGATGCGTTGTCACCCGTGAGGACTAAGATGGAATGCCTCGTTTCCAGTAAGAAGGGTCTCCGGTTCTCTACACTCACCATACGAAACACAGCAGTGTTATGCTGCTATTTTACGCTGGTATTCTGTGAGAGCATGGTCCTTCCCCGGTCGAGCCGACCCATTCGTGCTACAACTATACTACTAATATAGCTGCAACTTGGCTCTACCACGTATAAATTACAACTTATAACCATAATAATAACAAAACAATTGTATTACAGATCAATTTAGTTCGCAGTTGTATCGCTTAGAAGTATTAGCTTGTATCGCCAATTCAATACTGACTCGGTTGCGGTCTATACCGGCCTTATATTGGGCTTCAGATAATTTCCAGAACCTTCTACTGTAGAAACATCTAGAATGGTCGAGTACATATCGGTCCCGATTGACTAGGTGTCGATAGTTCTAGAAAGTTCTTCCACGGAAATTTCTAGAAGGATCTTGACTCTCCTAATTCTGCTACTCGATACTAGAAGGCGCTAATGGTAACTAGTGTTGCCATGTACCAGTCATTAATGGTGGCGTTCAACAATAGTGACGTGAAATATTTGAACCCTTAAGATTTTGCTCTACTATTTCTGTAACGTTTCGAATGTTGGCCCTCCTCTTGGCCTCGAAGCTTCACAGCCTTTTCGGAATCAGACCTTTAGATTAAAGAGATCGTTGTGTCTGATTATACTAAACATAGCTATTGAAGGAATTTTCTCACCAACAAACAAGCTGCTACTTTACTTTTTATTTTGTTTGGAGACGAAGCAGCAACATGAGTCGTCTTCTCACAGTACCAGTCTTGTAGCCCTATAACCTTTACTTCTTTTGTCCTTTTTGTTTGGAGACGTGTGCAAATGTTGAAGAGTTGCAGCAGTCCCTTACGATTAAAAAGATTGCCAACTCGTTTTCAATCTAATGAGTTTAAAAAAAACTTGCAGCATCAAAAGGCGGGATGCAGGCGCACAGTGCGCTGATGGCGCTGGCGGCGTTGGGCGCGTTGGCTGCGGTGGCAGCGGAACGAGGAGGCGGCATTAAGGTGGGCGGCGTGGCGGCGGGCGGAGCGCGCGACGGCGGGCGTGGTGGCGGCGTTCGGCTCGGTGGCGACGGGCTGCGCCGCGCACGAACCTCGCCCGCGCCCGCCGCGCCACGCACGCCGTCCGTCATCACTGCCGCACTCGTCGTGCCCCATAAGGCCTTCGGCGCACGCGACTACACTCGGGCCGAGAAAGCGGCCCTCTCCAAACTGCCGCGCAAACTACAAAAACTCTTCTCGCATGTGCGCCTAAACATTACGCTTTCTATGCAAGGCCTTACGCCTAGTCCTATGTGTAAGTATCGCTCTGTATTAACTACAAGAAGAATATCTTAGTAACATCTGAAAAGTTTTATCTAATATCTATCTAATATCTGTACCGCACACGTTGTGTGAACTGTTAGCTTATCACATTTTTCTTTGCACATATACTGAACAACGGATTACTAATTCTGTGTTAATAGTGATATATAAATATATAATATATATAATACCTTTCAGCTATCTTGGACTCGCTATGTAAAGAATTTTTAGCAGTCAACGTGTCTGCTATCCTTTATCTTATGAATCATGAACAATACGGGCGATCTACTGCCTCTGCACAATATTTTCTACAACTTGCCGGATATCTTGGCATACCGGTAATGCTTTACGTCTTGTCTTTCTTCAGTCACGTTGCTCCTTGATATTTTTTTATTTAAGCGTACACATTATCAGATTTTCTTTTTTGTTTAGGTTATCGCATGGAACGCTGATAACAGTGGTCTTGAAAAACGAGCCGCTCATGCATCCTTACGACTTCAGCTGGCCCCGTCCATAGAACATCAAACAGCCGCCATGTTGTCGATCTTAGAACGATATAAATGGCATCAATTTAGTGTAGTCACATCTGCTATTGCTGGTCATGACGATTTTATACAAGCCGTGCGGGAAAGAGTCACTGCTCTACAAGTAAGTCGTAATTATTTACATGATTCATAATATATTGGTTTCATATATACTCGTATACACCATGTTTAATCATCTTTTCCAGGACCGTTTTAAATTTACGATTTTAAATGCAATTGTGGTAAAAAGGGGATCTGATTTAAATGAATTAGTGACGAGTGAGGCGCGGGTGATGTTATTATATGCTACAAGGGAAGAAGCTGCCGATATTCTATCAACAGCCAGAGATCTGCATCTTACTGGAGAAAACTTTGTTTGGATTGTGACACAAAGTGTTCTTGGTTCCATGCAGCAACCTAACAAATTTCCAGTTGGAATGCTTGGTATGTATTTCTTCTTATTTTATAAGTATTTCTGACGATGATTGTGTATAGATATTTCGTAGTGATGTTTTTTCTTGTTATTTATCTGAAGTGTATGATTATTGACATATTTTAACTGTTTCGCTACTCGTATATCCTTATTCCTATTTGTATTTGCATTTCCATGTAGCGACATGGAGATGTGCGGAACAATAGTGAAAGTGAACATATTTTATGTTTACGCGAACACTACACATTGAACACAACAAAAAAATTACAATTTTTTTCATATTTCGGAATAATAAAAATGGTAGATTTTAAGTTACTAAGGCTTTTCAAATAGTGATAACCTTTCAAACAATTTGCCTCACCGTATTCCCGTGTTGTCATCCTTCTTCTTAAATGAATTATTTTCTATTACACCTGTACGCTGGTGGAACATCTTCCCTCTACATATTTGCCGTGCTCAATCCTTTTTCCCACTTAAAGAAACTATACAATGCTTACTTGCATTCCAATTATACTTCGTGTCGTCGTCTTGTGTTTTTATTATTATTGTGAGGTATATATAGAGAATTCATTTTCTTCGTCCAACGCATGTGGCGTACTCCACAAGCGGAACGTACTGCTTGCTGAGTCCGGGAGGATCATGCCGATACCAAACCATCTGGTGAGGATGATGGACACGAGGTAGTCGTGCAGCCCCTCGCCATGGGCTGGCGGCGCGCATGGTGTCACGTCCAGTGCCAGCTCCAAACGCACCCTGGCGACGTCCAGGCAGCGGCCCTATGCGCGTTCCTCGTTGTGCCATCATCCATGTTATGGGCGTCAATTAACCGGAGACGCACAGGCCCAGCACCGTTTCATGGTTCGGCCATATGCACAAACGGAGGTCCGTGCACCCTCAATTTTGCCTAGGCACGGCGCTTAAACCTTTTGGCAGGGCGCTGACTGACTGCACCAATGTAGCAGTTTTGTCGCTTGACTGTTACGTCAGCGGGCGATGGGGTCGTCACCTCCCTACGCCTTTATTATTATTATTATTTAAACTTAATTGTGTTCTCTATGTACCTACACCGCTCTCATAGCCGTCCGTTTGCGGAACATTTAAAGTGGTATTTTTCATTAGTCATGTGTGCCCCCCCCCCCCCCCCCCCCTCTAATCTACCAACTAAACCACTGTCTACGGAAATGTGAAAAGTATACACAATAGTAGTATACATAATTAAGTTAAAAGGAAAACTATCACAGCTATAAAGTAGAGTTAAGAAGTTAACGAGTAATACTCGACCAACTTATAAAATGCACTTTAGTTTAGTAGTTTAGTTATTCTTTTTATAGGATAGGGTGACAAACGAGCACACAGTCCACCCGATGGTAAGTAGTTGCTGTGACCCATAGACATCCACATTTATCCTCAATAAAGAATCAAAATGCAGATGCGTCGTCACCCGTGAGGACTAAGATGGAATGCCTCTTTTCCAGTAAAATGGGTCTCCGGTTCTTTACACTCACCATACAAAACACAGCAGCGTTAAGCTGCTATTTACGCTGGTTTTCTGTGAGAGCGTGGACCTTCGCCGGTCGAGCCGACCCATTCGTGCTACAACTATACTACTAATGTAGCTCTACCACGTAATACGTTAAACGTTACGTTACGAGTATAGTAAACTGTCAAATATAAACATTTTATGAAGAAAACGACTTATATGCATTACTACTATTAGCTTTACTTTTTCATTTGCGGGATAGATAGGGTGTTATTATCAAAATCGAAAAGTATTTTTTTAATCTTTTTTGAATCCCACTGTCTATAAGGCTGATTTGAAAATGAGTTCTTCAGTTACGATTTTCCTATTTGGGCCCATTTTTAGTCGTTATAGCGGTCAAACCGCGAACTCATTCATTATGCTCATTATTAAGGAAGCCCACGTGTTGTAACGGGCAACTACGGAACCCTACGGAAACCTCTACATTATGCTTGGCCCGACACGCACTAGGCCAGTATTTTTTTCAATATGTATCGGTGAATAATAGTATTTATAAATTGAAAACCGCATCAAAATTGTTTACAATTTTAATAACTTTCATCCCCTATTTTACCGTTAGAAGTATTATGTATAAGCAATCTTATAATAGTGTTGTCAAAGATATATTAAAACATGACAGAATTTCAAACAAGCATTGTTTGAAATTTTGTCGTCGAAAAAAAACCCCCTTAGGGGTAGAATTGACAAAATACTGAGATAATACGCGTTCTTTAGTTTTTAATCTCAAGCCTAAATATTTTTTTTTATTGATCCATATTTTTGTAAAGTTCAAAAATATCTATTATCCATAACCAACATGAAATTTGTTTTTTAGTGTATCCTCACCACCATGCAATTTTAAAGTCATTTTTTTCACGCAAACATTAAAAAATTTGAAAAATGCGTGGGGTTGTTATAAACTAATGTGCTTAATTCCACGTAAAGAAAGAAAATGATGTGTCCTGCCCAGTTTTAAGGGGACCTACCACCCTCTCTCAAAACTGGGCAGGTCCCCTTGAAACTGGGCAGGACACATCATTTTCTTTCTTTACGCGGAATTAAGCAAATTAGTTTATAACAACCCCATTATAATGGATTTCCGCAAAGTAACGCCTGATTCTATCAATTATCTGAAAAATGCGTATTTCATCATTTTAATCTAAAAGTGATTTTACCAATTTCCAAGTTACAAAAATCATTTAATAATTTTTCACCATACAAATATGACCCCATAAAATAAAGTGTCGTACAAACTGTAACACCTTATTTCACCCTTTAAGAGTTTGAATTGTTTCAAAATCCTAATGTAATAAAAGGAAGCTATCAATATTATTCATGTACAACCTGCATTTTGCATCCTCGTTTTAAAACCAGGAAGATTTTGAAAAGATAAAAGAATGTTAATTTCATTATTTTAATTTACGAATATCCATCCAATGAAGTTTGAGTCCACTACTGAACAAAGGTCTCCCTCATAGATCGCCTCATGGGGGCATTTCGCTATTGTTGCCTTGGCTTTCATTCTTTTAATTCAAGAGTATAATATTTAAAAATTTGATTAATTTTTTCCATAGAAATTTGAACACCTTATAGCCCCCCATATGGGGTTGTTGCCGCTGGGTTTCAATAAGCACGACATCACTCACTTTAAGCGGTGAATCAGTGGTACTATTCTTTCCGAAACCGTTCCCTGAGTTCAGTTCTAAGTTTCTGAGTATATTTTAATCTTTTGTTAAGGTTTGTACTGGCAATAACATCTAGGTCTCTAACGTTACTATTTGGTAAGATTTTTAAAAAGGAGTTAGATGTCAGTGGTAATAACTCCTCAGTTTCGCTTTTAGTACATGTCAAGGGTCTAGAGCATAAACAGTTGCCTCAAAATCATATAATATTGTTTCTAAGTCCATGTAAAATACGAGAGAAATTATGTTCACTATACCTCTTCGCGCTATAAATCTCCGTAGAGCCATTAAGAAAGCCTCAGTTGATGGGGACATAACAAGCTCTAAAGGAACAGCTCTATATATTGCACATGTAAATAATACAATATAACATTTTTACCATGTGTTTGTGTTTGCCTAGCATTTGTTTTTGTATTAATTTGAGTAGGTATTTCTGCATATACGTACCCTTCGTAATTTAACACTTCTTCACCTCTGTCTCTTCTTTTTTTCTCCCGACAGTTTTCGATAAATCTTAAAATCCAACCTATTATTTCAATAATTTTACATAATTGCTAAAATAAAGTGATCTTTCCGTAAATAATTCTTGTTCAGTATGAACGTATTTTAATATTATATGATTCTCTATCTGGATATCTTGAGAGAAGTTTAAATTTTCAATGGTGGTATCTGGCCATGAATCAATTTGAAGACACTTCTAAGCATTGTAATAAATATTGAAATTCATCTCCATTTTCAATTGTAGTGTCTTCGTGGATTTTTCTGTGCTGACCCCAAAAACTTAATCAACTTTCAAAATTGCCGTCAAATCTAGGTACGAGTAATACCGATTTTGGTAAATAAAAGCGATGTCTTATCACATATATCTGGTCTACTTCATGATCTTGTTGAGCTGTCAAAATAGTGGCGGAAATCAAAGATCGAGCCATTGTCTTACATTGAGTCTTCTGCACATGTATGTTTATAGAGAAACATCGAGTGCGATAATATTTTGGGTAAATTAAGCCCTCCTGATTATTTTACGTTCGTTTTTCCACGAATTTATGTTCACGGTCGCCATTTTGTGGGAAACTTTAAAAATTGTAGAGGTATTAATATCTTAACTTTGCACCCTTGTTTTTAAACCTCGATGATAAATTTTTGAAAAAATAAAAAGTGTACACTTTTTTTATCAAGAGTATTTGCCCCAGTTTAGAAATTAAAAAAAGCCTTTAGTTATTTTTTCTCCATACAAACATAAACACCATCTAGCAACCCGTAAAGGATGGTTTTCAAAAATCGCTGAATCCGAATTCATTTATTTTATTCACAGAGTACTTTCAGGTAGTTTCATCAAAATAAAAGTTTCATCAAAATAAAAGGTTCATACACATTGTAAAACCCTCTTAAAGCTTGAATTTTACAAAATCCCTTCTTAGTGGATGCCTACGCTATAAAAGGTAGGTACTCTACAAATTTCAAATTTTTAGTCAAGTGGTTTGGGCTGTGCGTTGATAGATGAGTCAGACACTTAGGAAATCCTCTTTTATATACCTATAGATAATATACATAAATAGATAAAGCAAATAATTAATAACCAATTTGGAATAAATGCGATAAAAAAGATGCTTATTGTTACCAACAAGGCTCTCATTTCGCATTTATTTGTTTCACTGTAGTATTTAAAATTTATAAAATATTATTGATAACCTTTATAGCGCAACCCTATATTATCTTTGTACCAAACACACACTTAGTCAATTAAATTTGATTATGTAATAATAATATATTTTAATAGGTGTACACTTTGATACATCAAGTGCCTCTGTGATTACGGAAATCGCAACTGCAGTGAAAGTGTTCGCCTACGGTGTTGAATCCTACGTATCAGAGGCGGAGTATGCGCGGTATCCACTCGGTACAAGACTTTCCTGCAGCGGCGTGGGCACTGGGGAAGCGCGCTGGTCTACGGGCGAACGTTTCTATCGCCATTTACGAAATGTCAGTGTCGAAGGCGAAGCTGGAAGACCGAACATTGAATTTACTCAGGAGGGTGAACTGAAAGCCGCTGAACTAAAGATAATGAATCTTAGACCAGCTATGGGAGAACAAGTATTAAATTCAGATTATTCTATATTGTTCCATTTATTGTTAAAATTTGTTCGTTTTGTAACATTTTGATGCATTTTCAGTTGGTATGGGAAGAAATTGGAACATGGAACTCCTATCCCAAAGAAAGGCTAATAATCAAGGATATAGTATGGCCCGGTGGGTTACACACGCCTCCTCAGGGCGTACCGGAAAAATTTCATATGCGAATAACATTTTTGGAGGAGCCACCATACATTAATTTGGCACCTCCAGACCCCGTTAGCGGACGCTGTTCTTTAGACCGTGGGGTTATTTGTCGAGTAGCGCCTGAAGTAGACGTTGCCGGGTAGGTAATCATACTGAAATAAACGTGTCATTCCCGTGTCAAATATTTGTTTATTTCAGTATATAATTTAGTACATTTTATTTGGATAGGATAGACGCAGGTACAGCGCACAGAAATAGCTCATTGTACCAGTGCTGCAGTGGATTTTGCATTGATTTATTACAACAACTGGCAGAACAACTAGGTTTTACATACGAGCTTGTAAGAGTGGAAGATGGTCGATGGGGCACGCTTCAACACGGTAAATGGAATGGCCTTATAGCAGATCTTGTAAATAAGAAAACCGATATGGTTAGTGCATCAACTTACCGTAACATTTAGTTTCTTATTCACTTTGTTGGAGTAATCATATAAATTCACATTCCACAGGTTCTGACATCACTAATAATAAATTCAGACCGAGAAGCTGTGGTTGACTTCAGTGTTCCATTCATGGAGACCGGGGTAGCTATTGTAGTTGCGAAAAGAACGGGTATTATATCACCCACAGCTTTTCTAGAACCCTTTGACACAGCTTCATGGATGCTAGTGGGCGCCGTTGCAATTCAGGCGGCAACATTTTCAATATTCCTTTTTGAGTGGTGGTCCCCGAGTGGATTTAACTGTTCAACTGGCAACAATTCTAAGCGAATGCCACAGAATCGTTTCTCTCTATGTCGAACTTATTGGATTGTATGGGCCGTATTATTCCAGGCAAGAATTTTAAATATTCATTATTTGATTATATGTGAAATATTAACATAAATTCATAATTTTTTGTTATTATTTAGGCATCAGTACACGTTGATTCACCACGAGGATTCACTGCACGGTTCATGACAAATATGTGGGCGATGTTTGCGGTGGTATTTCTCGCCATTTACACCGCAAATTTGGCGGCGTTTATGATAACACGTGAGGAGTTTCATGAGCTAAGCGGCCTTGATGACCCGCGGATAGCTAGACCATTGTCCCATCGTCCGGCGCTCAAGTTTGGTACCGTGCCCTGGTCACACACGGACGCAACTCTTGCAAAATATTTTCCAGAGCCTCACGCGTACATGACGCAGTAAGTGTTTCATATTTTACTTGTTATCTTGATATTTCTGAAAGTTACATTAATAATTTTCATTTAAATTAAACTAAATTATTTAAATAAGCGCAGTTAACAATAACATAGGTCAAGTGCGAGTCGTACTCGTGTAGCAAGAGTACTACCGACCGCACTAACCGCTAAGCAACGATTTGCTCACGTCGGACACGCACTTGGCCATATTTTATTATTTGTAAGAGTTTGGACTGTAACTACATCATCAAGTAGAGATAAATAAAATGAAACATGTTTCTTGTATAGGGACTTCCATTATTTTCATTTTTTATTACTTATTTGAAAATTCGTCATAATAACAAATATTCTCTGAAAATTTCAATCGGGTTCCTATTACATATCCTAGATACACACCTGTAACCGGTAAAAATCTTTAGTAATAGTCCCGTTAAACATCATTGTAAATTAAATTTAACTCACAATTAAATTTACTTTCTCATTCAAAAATCAAAACCAAGTGCCATCGAAAATGAAAATTTTAAATTGAAAGCAGAGAATAAAAGAAAGATAGAAAGAGAAAAAACCGAGCAAAAACAAATCTCGTATTTTGCTGGGATCCCGTGGGTTGCTAACTTCTTACGAATGTGTGCGTGCGCAGTAATATCAGTTAAAATAATGCATTATTACCACGCATTTTGAATTTAAGAGATAAAAAGGACAGAATTATTGATATTTTTTTATTAATTTTTATCACCATTAGCCTATAATACTTATTCTGAACCTTCTCTGCAAATTTGGCCGGTTATTGCAAAATAACCCTGTATAAACGTGGCTCAAGAGGGAAAGACTACATTTCATTGCTGTAGAAGATTTAATTCAAGCAAAAAATAGTCTCCAAGGGATGATTACACAGATCGAAATTGTGAACGATAACGAGAGCAAGGGCTAAGACATTTTGTTGCAGCAGAGCAAATTGGTCGAGCGATAACCTAATGTTGACGAGTGGAGTGTTTGGAGTTATAACTTCCAATCGAATTTTATGATGATGATAAGTAGCCTATGTGTTAATCTAGAATATTAGCTATATTCATTTCAAAACCCTATCTCAATTTCACTCAAATCCGTTGACTCGTGGCAGCGTGAAGAAGTAACAAACATACACACTCACTCACTCACAAACTTTTGTACTAATAACTTAGTGTGATGTGATATTTGCTAAAATTTTCATTTTTGGTTAGATTCAACCGGAGTACGGTAGGCGCAGGCGTAACAAGTGTCCTCACCGGCGATCTTGATGCGTTCATATACGACGGTACGGTTCTGGATTATTTGGTATCACAAGTAAGTAATATCTACTTACACATATCGAGTATCCTTAATGTTTAATCATAGCCTGGAGATAGTTAATTTGATACAATAACTTTATAGGACGAAGACTGCCGGCTCCTAACTGTAGGTTCGTGGTATGCGATGTCCGGCTATGGATTAGCGTTTACCCGTAATTCTAAATATCTTAGTATGTTCAACAAAAGATTACTTGATTTACGTTCGAATGGAGATCTTGAAAGATTACGCAGGTCTGTATTAAGTTATTTATAAATGTTTGTGCGTGAACATCAGACCCATTCCTCAGATTTATGTTGTATTGTTAATCGCCTGCTCGTCAAACGAATATATTTTTTTTTATAAAAACAAACTTATGTGTTGTTGTGAGTTTAGACATATTAGTTCACAAGATATTCTAGGCACGTCACGCTTATAATAAAATAAAAAAATCAAGTGCATGCTAGGCACTATTAGTGTTCCGTGCCACCATGTAAATTATGTGTTAAATTATTCATAGCAATTAGGGACAGCAACTTTCAAGTATTGCTTTTGAAAAGTGTTTGCAAAAAATGCATATAAATTACGTAAGTCGGATAATTTTCCATCAACCCTATTACCTAAAATAATAATAACATAAACCGAAAATAATTAATAACATATTTTTATGCTAGTGCACTGTTGGCAATATGAGGAAGACCCAGGTCGCTCAGCGATCTATGGAGAGAGCTATTCTCCGAATTTCTCTGCATGATATACTTCGTAATGAGTATATCCGCAGTAGAACCTAAGTCATCTATAAAGACCATCAAATCAGTAAGCTGAAGCAGCGATGTGTCAGGCCATATAGCTCGTAAAACGAAAGATGGAGAAGAAATGTTCACGAATGGCAGCTTCGTGTCGGAAACTAGATAGAGTGACGACTCAGTGAGAGTTGAAGGAGGACGTAGGTTGTTCAGTGCCGTGGTGTTCCTTGGGGGATGTTCTGACTATATGCAGCAGTTGACTTGTAGTGAATGGTGCTGGAGAAGCTAGTGCGTCTTACACCTCTGAAATGACACCCTACACAATTTTCGCAAAATATTATTCACACCTCGCTTTAGTCTCGTAAAACTTACCCAATACGTATAAATTGCAATTTTTAACCTCAGTTCCCTATTTATATTATTCCCTATTTTGCATTTTATATAATATATGCCATAATTCATCATCTACGTGAAATACTCTCAAGAAAAAAAACCTTTGTGACAGACAAGACGCCAAGGGGTTTCCCTGAGTGTTCTGCATTGCTAAATTTGGCACGGAACACTAAAAATCATAAAATATGTTACGCATTAGCAAAAATGCTTCAATAGCTCCATTGCTTAAAACATTAATAGCGTTTATTTATATTATAAAAGTTGACGTAATTAAATTTATAGGATCTATTCATTTATCTCGTGCCTCATCACATGCATGTATCTGTGAATGAACATTGTCTTGCCTCTGTGTTGAGTTGCCTTGTTGTTTTATAATTGAGTTTGTAGTAATATAATGATGTTCAGTTCATTTGGCACTTGCAGATATTGGATGACAGGCACTTGCAAGCCTAATAAGCAGGAGCACAAATCTTCGGACCCACTGGCCCTGGAGCAGTTCCTTTCGGCGTTTCTGTTGCTGATGGCTGGGATACTACTGGCAGCTCTACTGCTGCTTCTCGAGCACGTTTATTTCCGATACATGCGGGAGCACTTGGCTGCCTCTAAAGCAGGCTCGTGCTGTGCTCTTGTCTCGTTATCAATGGGTAAGTTGATGAATAATCTTGTCACCACATTATGGCCTTCTTATTGGTGTCTACCATCCTTGATTTTTCCATTAAATATTGTGTTTAAAAATAGTCTGAACTGGTTATTTTGATGTACACATAGAAAATATAGTTTTTATTGAAAGACTTATTGCTCTTGAACTGCTCTCAACTGTTTATAAGGTGAAGAATGTTTAGGTATTATGATATGCCACTGAATATATATTTTTAATTTTTAATCAGTTATTTGTAGGCCATACAAATAGTTGTTCCATGTGGGATACGAATCGGCGGCCCAAAAGATCATAACGGAACGCGTACCTGCGTTCGGCTATGATCCTTTTTTACCGCGTTACCCAGGCGTCAACATTATATGATGCAGCAAATACGAAGCTTAATATACTGTTTCAATAAAGTTATTTTCATAGCAATAAATTAAATATACATAACCTGTTATTATTCATCTTATTCGTTAATAACGAAAAATATTAGTAATTGCAAAATCATATCCTTCACCTCACTTTCTATTTTATACCGCTGCCTCGACCCGCCTTAGTTAGTTATTGAGTTGGTTGGTGTCAGAAGGCGGCCCCCAATTTAGAGCAAATATTTTTTTTTAAATTTCTAATGTGTGGAATAATTATAGTAAAATATTTAATAATATTGCATGCCTTAAGCGCAAAGCGCGTAGGTATGTTCTACTAGCATGGAGTGGTAAACACGATAACTTTTGAAAATATCAATTGTTTAACTCAATCCCATGGAATGTAAATGGTAGTTTAATTTTCTTTTCTTTAGTCATAATAATTTTTTTCGGCGTGGAAATCCGGAAATTTTCGGTGTTTTAGCAGCCTTGTAATAATTTATTTTACTAAATAGACTGCCTCACTCACTTCGGCGTCAACCACCGTCGTGAGTAGATACTGTATCGGTTGTTTGCAGCGACTCAAAAAGATCTCTGTACAAATACAAAATATTCGAGTAACCAAATTTCATACATTTTTTTAAAGGATAGGGTGACAAACAAGCACACAGTCCACCTGATGGTAAGTGGTTGCTGTGGCCCATAGACAACTACATCTATCCTCGTTTGCGAATCAAAATGCAGATGCGTTGTCACTCGTAAGGACTAAGATGGAATGCCTCTTTTCCAGTAAAAAGGGTCTCCGGTTCTCTACACTCACCATAAGAAACTCAGCAGTTTTGAGCTGCTATTTTACGCTGGTATTCTGTGAGAGCGTGGTCCTTCCCCGGTCGAGCCGACCCATTCGTGCTACAACTATACTACTAATATAGCTGCAGCATGGCTATACCACGTATCAACATTGTACCACGTATATACATACTTGATTATTATAATAATCAGAGATTTTTATTACAATATTTTAAGGGCACAGAATAAATAATTGTACTAGGTGCGTACTAAAAGTAAGTAAGATGTATATATTTAAGTATATTTATACTTAAATACGTCTTGGACTTTATGGAGTGACCTGAATGATGATATGATGATAATATGAGCATTAGGAGTCGTGCACTTTTCGATTTTCCAAGCTTTTTTTAAATTGAAGTTTGACATATAATAAAGTTATTAGTGAAAACTTGTGTGTATTTACTTTAAAAAATTTACGTATAATCATGTTATACGTAATTTTTTAATGCGCTTAGTGCATGCACAATTGGATATACCAATAGTTTTTTCAATGTAATATGTGTTATTTTAATAGGACAATCATTATCATTCCACGGCGCGGTCGTGGAAGCGGCGTCGCGGGGCTTTGGTGCTGGTGGACGAGGTCACTGCCGGTCTGCGGTCTGCGCGGCGCAAGTTTGTATTACATATTTTTTCTTATAATCATTCATTGCAGCCTATCAAAATCCACTGCTGAAACATAGGCCTTCCCATAGATTGTATTGACAGGCGGGTTTGGCGCATTTTTTTATTATTTTAAATTCTTATCAGGAAAATGCTGCTTCTCATCCCCTGTTTCATTTCCCTATTTCGCCTCCCCACGAGAACAAACTACACAGCCTGTATTATTTACTTATATTACAGTAATTATATTTATTACTTTAAATCGTTTGTGTGCCAGACGAAATATAAATAAGAATTAAGTTATGGAAAACAGGAATATCTGAGTAAAATTACTCTGCACTACATACACCAACCTTCCTGCCGAGAATGGTGATTATAACAAAACCACTTTTGATGGTGGAAGAGACCTACATCCTAGGGTGACGATAGCGATGCCACAACAAACGATATGTATGCCAAATTCGATTTAGCGGTCAATATGAGCCCTCATTAACTCAGCGGAAGGCAATTAGCACATTCACGTGCGCAATTAAACATCATAAACATACAATAATTACCTACCTACCACAAACTAATAAGAAGTACTAGGTACAAGCGCACTGCCTACATAAAATCACATGACACCGGACGTCATGCCATAGAATTTCAAAACAGTTTGCAGTATCACCACTATTATTGCTGATTAGAATTATTTAACCGGTTCAGTGCGGATGACACGCCAGGCGTGCCATCGATTACTTTTGTGTGTGGCGTATTACACACGAGTCGTGTCTTTTTAAAAATCGTTATAACTCGCTCAAATTGCGTTTTTGAAAAATTTATGCAGAACAAAATATTCATTATTTTGCAAGTAGTTCATGCAGCTTCGTTTCTGGATATTTTGAAAATTTGAAATTTTTAGGGGTTAACAACCTTTTTTTAACTATTACATGGTACTCTTTTTACTTTGTGGGTTTTCAGTCATGTTGTGGAAAAATAGTCTAATAAGTAACAAATAATAGCACTCATTGCGATCGCTCACAAACTCAAGTTTGACGGCTCCGTGGCGCAGTGGCTTAGCAATCAGTTGTTGCGCTGGGGGCCGCGGGTTCGAATCTCGCACGGAACAAGTATTTGTATGGCCTACAAATAATTGTTCCGGGTCTGGATGTTTGTCCTTGTGCAATTTATGTTTGTAAACTGCCTCCACGACACAGGAGAAAATCCTAGTGTGGGGGTAACGTTTTCTTTAAAAAAAAAATTTTCTGGAAAACAAGTCTCCTGTTAAAAAAAAACAATGCGTTTGTCTTATTGTTTAAAATGGTTGAACTGCCGTACTTATTACTATCATATGGACGAATAGACCTACGAAGTACCATGTGCTCTTGTGATATGGTATAAGGTTTATTTTTGCTTGAAACTGTTTGAAACCGTTCATGCATAAAAAAATTCGCTAATAAATAGTCTTTCGTCAATCCGTCGCCGTATAGCGCCGGCGTTTGTTTCCTTTTGAAAACACTTGTTTTGCTATTCTTACTAATTAGACGTTTTCAAATCGACTTTACTTTTACATTTATATAACATTAAATAATATTTAACATTTGTAAATATTAATGAATCATAAACCTTATTTTTTTCCAAGTTAACGTTCTTGATTGTTTGATATTTACAAATATTATTATTAGGTAAAAATTTCATTTAATAAAAACCAAGGTTTTCCGGAGTGATTTAGCTGTACCTACTTATATAAATGATTTCTTTATAAAACAAAAAAAATACCACATGTTTGTAATCTCTGCATAAAAAAGTCATTTATTCTCAATTTCAAAGAAAACACGTAGAAAAGCAAATAGTTACCCACTAAAAACAAGTATCATTCCGTTTGTAACTGATGTTTGATGTCAACTAAACTTAATTAGGTCTAAACAAGTGAAAAACGCATAAAAAAGATAATTATTTTTACACATGGCTGATGGCACAATAGGCGCTTGACACGACAGGCCATGTTATGTGCCATGAAATATTTGTGCGCAACCACAGCTAAAAGTTGTCGAAAATTGGTGCCGCAACGAAACGGTAAGTTAGTGACTTGTGGGTGTGAAATTCAGTAATTGTATTGAATTTATTTCAATAAAATTACAGAGGAATTTGTTTTACGGCTCCGTTGCGCAGTTGCTTAGCAATGAGTTATTGTGCCGGGAGCCGCGGGTTTGAATCCCGCACGGAACAAGTATTTGTATGGCCTACAAATAATTGTTCCGGGTCTGGATGTTTGTCCTCGTGCATTTTATGTTTGTAAACTGCCTCCACGATACAGGAGAAAATCCAATTTTGGGGGTAACGTTTTTTTAATAAAAAAGAAAAAAAAAGAGAAACACTTTCGCTTCTTCCAATCTGTAGGTACCTTTATTTATTACAACTTTACAAAATTCTTATGAATAGGAGAAGATTAGGAAGGAAGAGTCCCTCGTGTAGTGGCGGGTAAGAATACCCACTACCCCATATCCTCCCGTGGGTGTCGTAAGAGGCGACAGAGGGAAACAGAGGCAGAAGATGGGCAGCAGCATCTTTCTGATAACAGTAAAACAACAATAAAAAACTGCGGTTGCCAACCTGCTCGCCCACGATGGCAACTGTGGCAATATACCCCCTAATTAATAAAGTTACGAAGAAACGGGCCCCAGTCCCCGGCGGCTCCGCTATTCCTAGCTACGGTGGTGACGATGTATCGCATAGGGAAGTGATAGGAAATTAGTGAAAGTCAACATTGCTTGCACTCTTATGGCGAGATTTTGAAGATAAATCGCTGTTTTATTTCCTAAAGTATCTTCCACCCATACCAACAAACAGTCCATCGTTTCTACAGACGGCGAGACCGGGACAACCACCAGAGAGACCCGCAATCTTAGTCGTCTAACCTTTCTTTTCAGAAAGGGCAACAGGCGCTCTCTTGTGACACTCCGTTACGGGGGTCACATCCACCTCGTTGTTCCCGAACCCAACGCAATGTGATTGGAGTTTCGGGATAGAACGTCTGTGAAAGACTAATCCTTGTCTGTTGGACCCTGTCAGTTTGGTAGATCACGAGGGTGAAAACTGGTAGCGACCTCCGAATGGTTAGAGGCACACTGAACCTAAACGTTAAGTTGGTGAGGTCTCGTCTAATGATGTCAACGCTTCGTCCCCCTCGTGCTCTAATCCAAAGTCCCGAAACCGATTAGCTCGAGCTACAAAACCATTTTCAGTGGACGAGGACGATATGAATTACAAACTCGTGGAAACTGCCCATGCGGTCGGAGCTAAGTTCTGCAAGACCCGCCGCAGAAGAACACAAATCCTCTCCGATCACACTCTTAATCTCATGGCTGTTAGACGGTAAATGATGTTGCAGTCTTCAGCAGATTTGACAGGGTACAGGCAACTGAACAGACAGATCTCCAAATGCATGCGGCGGGACTTACGCAACTTCAATACAGCTCGTATTGATGAAGCGATAGAGTTGCAAACAGTCCTCCAAAGTCTTTGCTAGAGATCTGTCTGCCAGAAAGAGTCATCTATTGAAGCTGAAGACCAAGTGTGGCAGCGTCGTTTCCGGAATACCTGAGATTTTGAGTGAGATTGAGAGGTTCTATGGACAGCTGTACACATCACCGTTGGAGCCACACGCAAGTGTGAGTAACGATCCAAGAGCAAGTCTTATCTGACACTATTCATTATGATATCCCGGAAGTCAGTATGAGCGAGATTAAAATGGCTCTCTAGCACCATAAAAACGGTAAGGCCCCAGGCGAGGATGTAATTACAGCGGAGCATCTGAAAGCGGGTGGAAAACCGGTACTTGAAGTCATACAGAAGCTCTTTAATTCCGTCCTCCATGGTTCCACTACACCGGAGGCGTGGAGCAGAAGTGCGGAGGTCTTGTTTTTTTATAAGAGAGGGGGCAAACGAGAATGCGGCTCACCTGATGGTAAGTGACTACCGCCACCCTTGAACAACTGCAACACCAGGGGAACCAGGGGAATTGCAGATGCATTGCCGGCCTTTTAAAAAGGAGTAGGCTCTTTTCTTGAAGGTCCCTAAGTCGTATCGGTCCGGAAAAATCGCTGGTGGTAAACTATTCCACAAGGAAGTTGTGCGAGGAAGAAAACATCTTCTAAATCGTCAGATCATCCAGATGGTGTGGATGGTATCGGGAGTTCTGCCGCGATGTGCGTTCGTGAAATTTGGCGGCTGGGATTAATCCGAACATTTCCTCAGAGCACTACCCGTGGTAAATGCGAAAGAAAATGCAAAGAGATGCAACATCTCTTCGCAGCGCCAACGAATCAAGCCGATCGGTAAGGACTCGATCGTCGACGAATCGAGCCGCTCTGCGCTGGATACGATCAAGTTGAAGGAGCTGGCACTAGGGAGCCCCACTCCAGAGATGGGAGCAATATTCCATGTGAGGCCGAACCTGCGCCTTGTAAAGTTGCAGACGTGCCGGCATGAAATTCTGTCCCGCTCTGCTGAGCACGCCAAGCTCTTTAGAGGCCAATTTGGTCTTCTCTTCCAAGTGACCATGAAACTGCACGTTACTCTATATGTCGACGCCGAGGATTCCGATACTGGCTGAGGCAACAAGGGGAGTGCCTTGAAACTGAGAAAATTCGACAAAGAGGTTCTTTTTAGCGGTAAACGAGCAAACTTATGTCTTCTGAGGATTAAACTGGACTAGATTTAGTCACCCCCAATCCGAGACTTTGTTCAACAAAAGACTCGACTTCAGACACAAGTTTGTTCCGGTACTTGGCGACGTTTTCCCGAGAAATATTGGCACGGCCGGTGTATAGAGCATCAGCAGTGCTGTCATCCGCATAGCAATGAATGCTACCGGCTTGCAACATATCATTGATATGCAGAAGAAACAGCGTTGGTGATAGCACGCAGCCTTGAGGAACACCAGCGTTAATAGGCTTGTAGTCGGAGCATTCACCGTCTACAACTACCTTGATGCTCCGATCTGCAAGAAAGCTGGTGATCCAATTGCACAA